TTACGCAGGAGACGCCGAAACAAGAAAATCAAGGTCTGGATACATTTTCTTGTTAAATAACTCTCCCATAACCTGGTGTTCACAGCGTCAGCAAGTTGTTGCATTTTCTACAACAGAAGCCGAATATATGGCATTATCTTTCAGTTGTAGAGAAGCAGTTTGGTTACGAAATTTTATTAAAGAATTGGGATATTCTCCAGAACATTCACGGACTATCATTAAAGTTGATAACCAAAGTGCAATAATAATAACAAAACATATCGACATAAAATATCACTATGTTCGTGAACTGATAGAAGAAGACAAAATCAGTATTGAATTTGTCGAGTCTAAAACCCAATTAGCCGATATCTTCACGAAACCATTACCAAAAGAGAAGTTATACAGTATTCGAAGAAGTTTGAAGATTTTAGATTTTAATGAAGTAGAGGAGGTATTGGAAGGACTTCAATAAATGTATCATACTGTATAGTTTATGTTTATATAGTTTGTTGATGTTTTTGTTTGATAGAGTTGTTAATGATTGTCAATAAAAAAAAAATATACATTTTTTTCTGCTCCTCTATAAATCTTCATTCAAGAAGATCTCTGCTGGTTTAAACATATTCCTATAAGTATTCTATATGAAAATATTAATATAGAATTGGACATTATATGTTTTTCAGAAACATTTCAAATAACAAACTTAGATTTGAAAAAATCAAATGGTTACGCATTATATAGTGAGAGTAGTATTAACAAAAATTATGGAACAGTTGAACTCATCAAAGAAACTCTCAAATACTCCTACAAAATTGTCAAAATAGGGTTAATTAATTCCATAGAACTTAAAGTAATAATAAATGACAACACATTTCTAATTACATGCCTATACAGACCTTCTTCAACTGGTATTGTTGATTTTAATTTGGAGTTACTGCTTTATTTAAAGAATAAAAAAAGAATTTGATTTTGATATAATTTCGGGGCGATATCAATATTAATGTTTTCAGTTTTGAAGTCATTGAATACACAAATATTTTAATCGAAGAAAGATATAAATCACTTAAAAACACACCAGGGCTAAAGATAACACTAAATCCTGTATTAATAATATATTTTTATTAGATAATACCAAAAATGATATTCCTCTTGTATTAGAAACATCGATTACAGACCATTTTACAACTATAGCACAAATTATTGTCTGGAAAAAACAAAATTAATAATAAACGCTAACGATATTATTAAAAAATATATAAACTATAACTTACTACAAACTACTTTAAGCCAGAAACCTATAACTCAGTCATATTTGAAGACAATGTCTGTATCGCCACCAAAGAGGTTAGAAAGGGTAGAGGTAACATAGGAAGCATTTGTCGCTGCGCAAATTTTGCCAAAACCGAAAAACTAGGTGGAAGGAGTAGGGAGATGTTCTGTGCCGGACTTAAATATTTGTATTGTAGTACCTAATTTTGGTAGGTAACTAAAAGATGAAACATTATGAGACGTTTTGACTTTATTTGTTAGCACGATTCATGTATGATAAGGGCAATAACACTTTATCAATATATAACTAGCTAAGGGCCGATTCCACCGTTGTGTCAAACGAAGTTTAAATTATTAAACGAAGATTAAAATGACATTGTTAATGTAAAAATGTCATTTTAAACTCCATTTAGTAATTTAAACTTCGTTTTTGTTAATATAAAAATATCATTTTAAGCTTCGTTTAACAAAACGGTGAAATGGACCATAAGTAAAAGTTTATAAAATTATTGCAACAAAATAGCTGTTGAGACAAAAAGTTATCGAAACAGCCAAAGTACTTTTTGCTCGAATTACACACAAGATTTTTTCTACGATCACACCAAAATAAAATAAATAATTAAATTTTATTAGAAATGGCTTACTTTTTCGTTCGTTATAATATTTTAAGTTTATTTGACATAAGCCTACTCTTCAAAGAGAAAAAAATGAAAAAAAAAATTCACCATCATTCTTCTGTAGGTACTTGCAATCAAATATTTTAGAAAATTGTTGTATTTGATTGCCCTACGACGTTTTTTTTTTCAATAGTAATAATAAATATAAGGGACATGTGCAGTGTTGCCGGTCTAACTTTTGACATTACCCGCGAGAAATTTGAAAAAAAAAAACATTTTTACCCATTATCCTTAAAGGAGTACGTCAAAATTTTACCCCCAACATTTCTGGGCAGTTTTCAATAACGGTGTTATTCTAAATATAAAACGCAATTTACAGCTTTTCTTTTTTTGTTTTCTTTTTTTGTTGTTGAACGTAATGTCATATTTTCAAATATGAAATGTCACTATTCATTGCCTTTTTTTCGATATTTTGTTTTTTGGATTTTTCGATTTTTTATTTTTCGATTTTTTGATTACTCGATTTCTCGACTTCTCGATTTCTCATTTTCTCGATTTCACGATTTTTCAACTTAAAAACCAAAAAAGAGGCAGTTTTATTTATTTTCATTTCGTAACTGGTGACAATCAACTTTTCGTAATCAGTTGCATAATGTTCTACTTTATGCAACTGTTCTACTTTATGCAACTGGTTGCATAAAGTAGATCGTTTTGACACTCGCTGCGATTACAAAATATATTACTTTATGTGTCAAAATTAGAAAAAATAACAGAATGTAAATTAAATGGATAGATCTCATATTATTATAGAGCAGTGTTTCTCAAACTTTTTTGACGACGGAACCTTTTTGAAAAGCGAAATATTTGACGGAGCCCTAAACACATAAAACCACAAAATATAAAAAAATTATTTTAATTTTTTTTTTATTTTGACTCTCATTTTGACTTTCAACAGGTAAACATGATAAAAAATCGGCTTTATATTATGCTCCGATTCCACATATTTAATTTTATAATTGTAATTTGACAATATTACTGCCCATCTACGTAGTCTGTTGGCTGAAAATTGGGGTATACATTTAGCTGGGTTAAAAATAGTTACCAGAGGTAAGTGATCTGTAACTAGGATAAAGAAGTCCATATAAATATTCATTAAATTTATTTAAGCCAAAAATTATTGCAAGGACCTCTCTTTCAATTTGGGAATATTTTTGTTCGGACTTTGATAAGGTACGCGAAGCAGAAGCTATAATTTCTCAATGTTTTTTTTTAAAACATGATATATCATGGCACTTATTCCCACATTTGATGCATCTACGAATAATTTGATCGGCAACTCAGGCTGAAAATGCACAAGAACATCATTTGTTGTTAATTTATTTTGATTTATTCCAAAGATTCCTTGCAAGAATTTTCACAATCTATTTCACCCATAAAAAATAAAATAAAAAAAAACTCCTAAAAAAATATTATATCCTCCTTCCTCTTAGTGACTTAAAAAAAAATACTTCTCAAAAAAGGTCCTCTAGCCAGGTCCCTCCATTTTGTGGCGCTAGTACTGTTTTTTTTATTGTGATTATTTTCTTCGCGGAGCCCTCACAAAGGCTTTGCGGAGCCCCAGGGCTCCGCGGAGCACACTTTGAGTAACACTGTTGTAGAGAATTACTAAATAGTTTTAAGAAAACTATTGGCAATGAAATTGATATTTTTGTATTTGATTGTATGTTTCTCTTTTTACTTCCTAAAAAAAGATTCCCCATGAAACAAGAAATAGTAAACAGTTTATAATAATAACCTTTATTTGCTACTTATAACATGTACCAATGACCAAGTCCGATTCTGTTTATTTTAAATCAACAAATATGGACGACGACAGAAGCCTTAAAAATTAAATATCTCACCGAAATAAATGTAAGTTTCTTTTATCTCAGTTACATTTAGCAGGTTTATTATAAATAAAGCTTTTTACAACACATTTTGGCATTTTCAACGTTAATTTCCAAAATTTAAGTCACTAAAATACCAAATTAATTCTCGTTGTCACATTAAATTTGGATGGACAACGCTCTGACATGTGATGTTCTCAACTGTGATTGGTGGGTGTGTATAATTTCGAAATGGGATTATGCGCAGTGTCTTATGTTCCATCTAAGGTTTGTATAATCTAAGATCGCCACTGAAAAATTTATTAATATTGTAAAAACCAACATAAAAAATATTCATTTCTGAACTTAATTTTTTATTATATTATTTTTTTTATACTATTTTATTTATCACAATTCTTAAATTAAAAAGACTTTGATGTTCGGAAAAAACTTTGTCAATCGTAATTAAAAATAAAATTATAAAAAAAGAAATAAAAATATAAAAAAAATTGCTCTAGTTCCTACAAAAACAAACTTTGATCCGAAAAATTATTTTTTCCTTTATTTGTAACATAGGAAAATTTCACATGCAGAAGTCACACCCAAAAATCATGTCGACCGGTGAATTATTATACTATTATTTTTTTCATTGGCTTCAACAACTTAGGTCATTAGCTTCGTGTTCTATGTAGGTTATGGATTGTACTAGTAGTCTAATACTCCTTAGTGCAGGAGTGCTAGTACTCTAATACTCTTGCACCCCCACAGATAGGCCTTGTTACTGTTTCCTTGCGCCACTTTAGGAACAGCACTGTTAATTAGAACCCAACAGTGAATGGCTGAGTGGGCAATCCCACCTACGCATTAGAATTATGATTTTTTTTTAATTAAATTAAAATCTCTGCCACCGATGGGATTCAATCCTGAGACCTCTCGATCTCAAAGTCATGACTCTACCCACTGAGTCAACCCACCCCTAAAATGTGCTTTTTGAAATACAATAAATTTCAAAATATTTCACACTGTTTGGCATTTGGAAAAAATAAAATAATATTTTATTAATAATATATTCCATTTCTGATAGTTTAAGTTTAACAAAGCATAAATAGATACTTCAGATGTGACGAAATTAATTACACTTCAATTTAGAATAATTGCACGGTGAGTCTAGATAATAATTAACAAATGATTAAACTTGAAACAAGAAGCAATTAGAGATATTGTCAGATTTCAGCCTACGTAATAAATTTCTCATATCTCTGGCTAAATGCACAAGACATGTAAGTAGGCATTCTTTGTCATGGTGTTATATAACATCAGAACATCAATTTAACTGCCTACATAAGCTATGGAAAGCCAGATGTCCAACGCGTTTTTCTAATATAGTGCTAGAGGGCGATTCAAGCAGATCAAATAGTTGATTTTATTTACTCTCAAGCTATGTATATACAGGGTGTTTTGTTATTTGATTTGTGATAACCCGTTTTGTTTCGAAGGTACTTAGTGTGTTTGAAAGAGTTCGATAGTCAATGATGAGAAGATTGAATGCTTGTATCCAAGCTGGAGGAAGTTATTTTTAACATTTATTGTAGATTAGGCAACCTTACATGTACTTTTTGATAATAAAATGCTGTTACTGTCGAAATTTTGTTTACCCTGTATCTTCGAAATAAAGCTGGTTTTCATAAACCATCAAATAAACAAAATATTCTTAGAATAGTTCAAGGAATAAACCCTTGCATTTTTGCCGCATGTTTACCAAACACCCTGCATACAAGGTGAAAGGTGGCTCACAAAAGTTTGACATGGGTATTTTGTGTATTTAGTTTAGAGACGGATATCTTTTTATCATATTCTCAACTGTGATATGCCATTCCCTCCAATACGTCTCTCTAACCAATACAATTTAAATAGGAAAAATACCAACTATTTATTGCTTTGCTTTTGATGTTAGCGCCCTCTAACGGGATAAAAACTATTAGGTTAGGTTGAAAATGAGTGGGATGATCTCATCGCCTTCTACTGCGACCCAGATGGGTCTATTGTGGCTCATGGCTAACTTATAGTTCACCGTACAAGCCACACCTTTTGATGAAGGCCATAGTTGAATTGAGCGAGACTTGTTTAAAGTCGGTAGGCTCCAGTTGGGTAAATCCGAAGATCTGTAACCTGGTTCTTTCCAGAGCGGAACATGTAAAATGTGCTCTGCAGACTCGTCCTCCACGCTGCAGAATCGACAATCCGATGTTTGTTGAAGACCTATCCCTCTCATGTGGTTGTCCAGATGGCAGTGTCCTGTCATCATTCCCGTGAAAATGCGTAGATCTTTTTTACTCTATTCTTGAATCCAAGCGTTCATAGAAGGGTTGGTTAGGAACGCTTTCAAATGAGTTACCCCTGGGGTATCTCTCCAGTGTTGCACCCTCCGACCATTTTGAGATAATTCCTTTGGCAGTGCTCTTTGCAATGCCCAGGAATTGTTCTGGTCCTGTGAACACAGATTCGGTTCCTCTTTTAGCAAGCGCGTCGGTTTTACATTGCCCTCCACACCACTGTGTCCCGGAACCCAGATCAAAGTAATTTTTTTCCGGGCACCGAGACATTCAACGGTATTTATACAGTTCCAAACCAGCTTTGAGTCAACTCGATATGAGCTCAGGGCCTTGAGGGCTGCCTGGCTACCTGAAAAGATCTTTATAGTCTTGTTTGCGGGGAGAACATTAATTAACTCTCTAGCTTCCAATTCTATAGCAATCATTTCTGCTTGGAAGATCATGGCCAGAAAGCCTAGGTTTACTGATATGTCAACTCTGGGCCTCTGGCCGAAAACTTCCGGTCGTACTCCTTTTTTAGTTTTGGAGCCGTCCGTGTACAACGCATAGTCTGCCGGGAAGAGGGTTTTTTCCTTCTGCTCTATGCGTCTCTTTCTGAAATGAGGACGCTGTATGGCTTTTCTATGTGCTGTCGGGAAACTACCGAGTTCGAGACCATGCCGAGGATGTGGTGGTTAATAATTTCACTTATCAGCCCCGTCTTGTCCCATCGCATTTCTTCGTAGCATTAACTATCCACCTTCAGCAGTCTGTAGGAGACCACCCTGGCCTCACTTTCCAGCAGAATGTGGAGAGGGGTTAGGTCCAGCATAGTCTCCATGGCTCCCCTAGGAGTGGTTGACATTGTTCCAGTTATACCGAGGCACACAAGCCGCTGTATTCCAGCCAGCTTTGCTCTGGCCGTCCGTTGAAGTCCCTTGTCTCACCAGACGACAGAGCGGTACGTAACCATGGGTTTTACCACTCTTTGGTAAATTCAGTAGATCAGTTGGGCACTGATCCCCCATGCTTTGCCGTATATCCTTCTAAGAGTCCAGAGGGATAGTCTGGCTTTGATAATGGTTTTATACAATTGGGGGTTCCAGGGGAGATCTATGGTGATTCCCAGTTATTTCACCTCCTCCGCAAAAGGAATGATTTCCCCAGCCAAGGTAGGTTGTCGAAGCTTGTCGGGCTTTCTTCTCTTGATAAAAACTGTAATATATTGTAACATATTGTAAAATGTGACACTTTATTTGGAAGCTAATTTTACTAATATACATATTATTAGTGCGTTGCGTAAATTTGTTATTTTGGTTGATTGCTATTAAAATTTGTATTTCTTAACGTTAGAGCTCTGCAAGATTTTTCAGTTATTTAAGTTTGTGTTTCATTCAGTTATGTTTTTTTATATTGTGCATTATATTATTAATAAAATAATATCTGTACAAAAAAATGTCATATTATGTATAAAGTTGGCTAGCAACTGTGGATGAGTATAAATAAAATTGTTATTGCTAAACAATGAGCAGTTGCAATTCTAATAACCTATAAAAAATCGACTAACTTTGAAGTTACTTCCACTAAGGAACTGGAAATATAGTTTTAATTTTTTATAAATGGTGAAGAATTTGTATTTTTTAAGTTGAGCAACTGAAATGTCATCTGACAGAGCAATAAATCCTTGCATTTTGTTACTAAGTACCTAATATTAATATGCATACAAAAAATCCGTTTATACTGCTTTTCTTTTCAAAACATTTTACACGAAATCACCCTGTATTATTTACTGTATTAACCCCGCTATCGACGCCATGCCATGCCAGTAGAAAAAGAAAAAAACATCTGTCTAGGAACATTAAATCAACAACAAACACTACACAAATCCGGGTTGCCGAAATTTGTAGTTCACCAATTTGCTTTTCAAGTGGTGGTGTTATATTACAAAATAGGATCCTATCAATTTGAGTGGTAATTAAAAAGGGTATTTTTATTGTATTTATTTATGACTGAGTGCTCAAATTACAGATTTTAAAAACGAATTTTTGAAGGGTGGGTTATTAACAATGATAAATGAATGGTATAAATATAACGTAATAATTTTATTCATTTATAGAACATTTTTTGAAAAACTTGAATAATTCTTAATAAATATATTTTTCTAATTTTGACATATAAAGTAACATTTTTTGTAATCGCAGCAAGTGTCAAAATGATCTACTTTATGAAACAAGTTGCATAAAGTTAAACATTATGAGTCGTCTGATTACGAAAAAATCATTATATCTAGTTGCGAGAAGAAAACAAATAAAAATAAAATAATGAGAATAAGTATGAGACAAATGAAAGGGGAAATAAACGACAATATCACACAAATGGAAAGGAAAATAGGGGAACAGATTAAACAGAAAGAAGAAACAATGAATAACAAGATGGACAGCATAAAACAAGAAATTCAAAAAGTTAGACAGGGTAACAAAAATTTAATTAGAAAAATAGAAGAAGTTATGGATAATAACATAGAAGAGGTTGGAAGAAAGAATACAAATAAATGAAGAAATACAAGAAATAGAAGAGATAGCTATAGAAATTGAAGGAAAAGAAGTAAATAAAGTAAGACTGAGTCAAAATATAGAAAAAGATGAAAATAGGAATAAAGAAAATAAGAAAAAAATAAAAATTAAAGAATTAAGAAAGTGAAAAAGAAAATGAAGGAAAATGAAAAACAAATTACAGAGAAAGTTAAAAGACAAGATAAATTAAAAACAAAACTATGGGATAAGAAAAAAAGAAACATAAAGGTATAACAAGTAAATGAAAAGTAGAAAAAAAATTGAAACATATACAGGGGGATAAAAGACATATTAGAATATTACCTTTTTTGGCTCTTTTAGACAGGGTCCGGTCATAATTAATCCGGATTATTGACGCTCTACTGTAGATAGATGATAACTCAATATTCAAATAATATTAATATTCCTCACTGTAATAATTTTGGTTTGACAAAAAATATACTTCTATTTTATTATGTCTCAATTTAAATACTGAACGTTTTCCTTTATAAAATAAGAAATATAGACTCTCCCTGCTGCACTGCTCATCTATTGAAGGTGCCAATCATATCTACCTTAAATGTCAAAATCATTCTTTAGTAACATCTAAGTTATATAAATCTTTCTCAATTTCCTTCTTCCTATAAATTTGACTACAAACTTATCCAAACTACTTGTTACTTTCCCTTATTTTCTTGTATTTACGTTTTCCGATTTAACTATCTAAACATTCTGTGGATAATGGACAAATTTCACAAATTCAGACATACAGGGTGTTGTTTTAAGGATGGATGAATTTATAATTTTTTTATAAAGACAGACCTGACTTCGACAGACCTAGTTGAAAAGTCAAGAAATAAATAGGCAACATTGATATACATAGAAAGGGTTATAAAGGGCACAAGACCCATTAATAGTTTAATTCCATTTAAACTATTATAGAAGGGTAAACTTAGCTTAATCGACAAGACTAAAACGAATATTGCTTCTATTGAGGCTGTTTTGCATTTAATTAGATAATTAATAGCTTGCGATAGCTATCTCTCGTCTTTCCCTATTTTCAATTATGCGGGAAGTTTGAAAGAGGGTTGAGCAATTAGGGAGGCAAAATTTACTTTCCCCATCATAGCTAATGATTTTAAATTGCCCACTGTTTAGGGGTTTCCGCTTCATATAATTACATACCGCTTCCTGTTTGTAAATTTACCCCATTAACCAAGAGTTGATGAAAATGTGTAAATTTTATTCAAGGCTGAAGTGGCCTAAAAATAAAGAATTTATTTTGCATAGATACATTGTTTAAAACCGACTTCAATTGCATACAACTAAATAAGCATTTAAATGCTGTTCATTCTAAAATTCAGAATAAGTTAAATTCCCTTTTAAAATAAAGAAAAATAAAACTATTGTAACTGA